CAAGATTCAAACTCTCGAATATTGATTCTTATGATGGGACTTCAGACCCCTACGAGCATATCGATCACTACCGCACTATTATACATATCCAGCAGGCCCCAGGCGCTTTGCTCTGTCAAGTTTTTCCTGCCACCCTTAAAGGGCAAGCCCGAACATGGTTCTACTCATTGCCTGCCCAATCCATCTCGATATTCGTTAAATTGGCAAAACTGTTCGTCGAACAATTTGCCGCCAACCGAAGAATGATTAAAGACTCCTCCCACCTTTCAAGGATATGTCAGAACGAGGGCGAATCCCTTAAAGAATACTTCCAGAGGTTTTCTACGGAAGCCCAACAAATTCCAGGAGTAGATCCCGAATTGCTTAGAGGTGTATTTCTTGGAGGGCTTCGTCCAGGCCCATTCTACTCGGCACTTATGCGAGATACGGTCCACTCATATGCGGACCTAATCCATCGAGTAGAAGCTCAGATCTCCGTCGATGACGCCATCAATGCTCACAGAAAGTAATTTGAGCAGACAACTGGGAAACGTAAGAATCCCCCAGGGACGGAGAATCCCCCCTCACAAAGGAATAAGCAAGGAAACTACAATTTTCCTCCTCGACCCTCACAGCCACGACGAGAGCCCCGACAGGAAAGAGAGTACACGCCACTTAATACATCCCGAGCAAATGTAATAATGGGCATCCGAGACCAAGAGAGTGTGAAGTGGCCATACCCTTTAAAGCCTAATACCGGAAACCAGGAATAATATTATCATTTCCACCGCAGTCATGGACACACTACTGAAGCATGCAGGCAGCTCAAGGAGGAAATTGAGAGACTGATCCGACAAGGATATCTCTGACAGTTCGTCGAGAATCCGACAGCCCGAGAAGAAACTGTTCCAACTGGGTGGCAAAATCAACAAAAACAGTTGACGAACAATCGCCAGAGGGTCGGCGAAATTGAAACTATTGCTGGGGGCCCTTCAACGCCTTGTCAAGTTCTAATTGCAGAGAACAAGGAACCACCCACAAAGAAACTTCATATAGATCACTCCATCACCTTCAAGGAGTCCGACCTAGAAGGCATAAAAACCCCTCATCAAGATCCGCTGGTGATTAGCGCAGGGATTGGCGACCCATGCTACAACGTCAAAAGGATCTTAGTTAACAACGGGAGCTTAGTAGATGTGTTGTTATACTCAACTTTTCTTAATATGGGCATGTCCAGGGAGAAGCTTCTGCCTGCTGCCGGTCCGCTGTACGGATTTGATAACCGACCTGTAAGAGTGGAGGGGACTATCAGTCTCCCGGTCATACTTGGAGAATTTCCTCGTCAGGTTGAGCACTCTATTCAGTTTATTGTAGTAAAGTCTGAATCGGCCTACAACACGATCTTTGGAAGGCCACTCCAAACAATCTTTGGAGCAATTGCTTCAATTTCCCACTTAAAATTGAAGTTCCCTACCCCGTTAGGGATTGGAACCATATGTGGAGATCAACAGGCAGCATAATCATGCTATCTTAAGCAAGCCCAACCGCGTTCATCAGTTACTTTGAGCATCGAAAACTTCGATCTTCGGAATGAAGATACCCCTCAAAGGGCCTCCCATGTAGAAGATCTTACCTGTGTCTCTCTATCAGAAGAACATCCCTCGAGAATAGTACAGATCGGATCACTCCTCTCAGATATAGAGAAAAAAGAATACGTAGACTTTCTACGTACAAACCAAGATGTATTTGCATGGAGTTTGACTGATATGCCCGGCATCAATCCCGAGGTAATCATGCACTCCCTCAAGATCAACCCAGCATGTAAACCAGTGATTCAAAAGAAATGAAACTTCGCGCTAGAACGTCAGCTGGCAATCGAACAGGAGATTGATAAGCTTTTATAAGCAAGATTTATAAAAGAAGTACACTACCCAACTTGGCTAGCCAACGTCGTGATGGTTCGGAAGACAAGTGGAGCTTGGAGAATGTGCGTGGACTATACCGATCTCAATAAGGCTTGCCCTAAGGACAGCTTCCCGCTCCCTCGAATCGATCAGCTAGTTTACGCCACATCCGGACATCAGATGTTAAGCTTTATGGATGCTTACTCCGGATACAATCAAATACAAATGGATCCTGCCGATGAGGAGGCAACATCTTTTCAAACAGATAAAGGGTTATATTGTTACCTGGTAATGTCGTTCGGGCTCAAGAATGCAGGGGCAACTTACCAACGACTGATGAATAAGGTTTTTAAGAACCTTATCGGGCGTACCATGGAAGTCTATGTAGACGACATGCTGGTGAAGAGCCTCGAGAAATCTCAGCATATCTCGGATTTGGAAGAATGTTTTTACCTCCTCCGATCTTACAACATGTGCCTCAACCCCTCCAAATGTGCATTTGGAGGCACCTCGGGAAAGTTTCTGGGGTTCATGGTTACCCATCGAGGGATTGAGGCCAACCCAGAAAAGATCAAGGCCCTAAGGGACATGCTACCCCCGAGAAATATCAAAGAAGTCCGGAGACTAAATGGAAGGATTGTAGCACTCTCCCGATTTTTGGCTCGTTCGGGAAATAAGTATTTACCTTTCTTCAAGATCCTTAGAGGGGCTCGTAGCTCAGGATTTCAATGGACTGATAAATGCCAAGAGGCTTTTGAACAACTCCGGACTTATCTAGCCTCACCACCGCTACTCTCAAAGCCAATTACAGGGGAAATTTTGTATATGTACATGGCCATCTCTTCTCAGGCTATAAGTTCGATCCTGGTTCGGATGGATGATACGATTCAACGCCCAGTCTATTACATTAGCAAGGTACTTTCAGATGTTGAGATGCGTTATCCATTGGCAGATAAAATAGCCTTAGCATTAGTCTTCTCAGCCATGAAGTTATGACCTTATTTCCAGGCACATGCGATCAGGGTTTATACAAACCTACCGCTGAAAAATATTCTCCAAAAACCTGAGGCATCTGGAAGATTGATCAAATGGTCAGTAGAACTTGGAGAGTTCGATATACAATTCCTACCTAGACCCGACATCAAGTCACAGGTGCTTGCCAATTTTGTGGTCGAATGTACTAGCTACACCTCCGATGAATCACCTGATGTGTCTCCTTCCTCCTCCTACTGGACATTGTATGTCGACGGAGCTTCTGGGAGTTCTGGTGCTGGCGCTGGAATCTTATTAATCTCCCTGTGGAAAGCCACACTTGAATACGGGCTTAGACTGAAGTTCCCAGCAACAAACAATGTTGTTGAATATGAAGCTTTAATTGCTGGATTGAGATTGGCAATTGATTGTGAAGTCCAAGACTTAGTGGTTCACACTGATTCTCAACTGGTTTCTTCTCAAGTAGAAGGGGAATTCGATGCTCACAATCCACTTTTGGCTCAATACTGTCAGGTAGTTAAAACCTTGTTGGCCCAAATAGCAAAGCATCAGGTCATCCATATCCTTCAAGAGCAGAACGCAAGGGCAGACTCTCTCTCCAAGCTAGCAACTTCTACAATGGGAGATGTTTTCAAAAGAAAATTTATTGAGGAGATCCACTTCCCGAGCATTCAAGGCTCATGGGTACTTCAATCAATAGATGAATCAAAAGAAACTTCTTGGATCGACCCCATTCTCGCTCTCCTACAAGAAGGCTCTCTTCCTGAAGACCCAGCTATGGCAGTACGACTTCGGAGGCAAGCAGCCAACTTCACCATTATTAACGGAGAGTTGTACAAACGATATTTCACAGGGCCATACCTCAAATGTCTTCCTCCTTCGGAGGCGAACTATGCACTTCGCGAAGTACACTCGGGCATTTGTGGGGAACATTTGGGCGGAAGGGCACTAGCCCAAAAGGTCCTGAGACAAGGGTTCTACTGGCCGACGATAAAACAGAACGCATTAGAACTCGTACGGAAGTGTAACAGCTGTCAGTTGCATGCCAACCTCACTCATCTACCCGCTGTAGAGATAACGACATTACAGAGTCCCTGGCTTTTTGCCCAATGGGGGATTGACATAATGGGACCATTTCCTATAGCCACGGGATAGCAGAAGTTCATTATATTGGCTGTCGACTATTTCACAAAGTGGGTAGAAGCAGAACCACTAGCAAAGATCACTGAAGCAAATGCCAAACAGTTCCTGTGAAAGAGCATAATATGTCGCTTTGGCATTCCTATAAAAGTTATTACTGATAACAGAACACAGTTCACCGAAAAGGTCTTTATAACATTTTGTAAATCTCCACATCCATCTAATACACACGGCTGTAGCTCATCTTCAGACTAATGGGCAAACAGAGGTCACTAACCGGATCATTCTGAGAGGATTAAAGACACGGCTGGAGAAGGCTGGGGGGTAATGGGCTGACGAGCTCCCAAAAGTCCTTTGGGCCTATCGTACGACAGCAAGAACTCCAACAGGAGAGACGCCGTATAATCTCTACTTTGGCACAGAGGCTGTCATTCCAGTCGACATTGGAGTCCCCAGTCATAGAGTATAAACTTTTGACTCCAATGCCAACGACGAAAAACTCAGGCAGAACCTGGACATCCTTCCAGAAGTAAGAGATGGGACAATACTTAAGGTTGTTTCCTACCACCAGAGAGTGCCCGTCACTATAACAGAAGGATGAAACCGCGACATATATCGGTAGGAGATTTGGTCCTACGCAGCATTGAGGCGGCAGGCAAAGGCCCTCAATAAAATAAACTCTCCCCCCTCTGGGAAGGTCTGTACCTAGTAGCAGCTATGGTAAAGCCAGGGACTTTCAAATTAAAAGATGCTGAAGGGAAGATGCTTCCTCGAACTTGGAATATCGAGAACCTTCGTAAATACTATCAGTAGAGCATGATCGTGTCATTTGTTTTAGAATGTTGTATGTCTCTAGTATTATGTGCTTACTGTATGTGTCTTTAATTTCGAACGTTGTTTGCAATGTTTCTAGTTTCCTTCTCCCTTAAACTGTCTTTGAGAGCTATGTTCTTCGTTTAATAGCAGTAAAGACTTTGGGTTATGAACTTTAATATGTTTTATTCGAGCAATAGATGACTATTATTCAATCGTTAGTTGATCAATCCCAGGGGGA